GGCAAAGACGGCAAGAGGAGAGTGTGACCCCCAGACTGTCAACAAGCCAAAGTTTGCTCCCCTCATGCTTGGTTTGGTGATGAAACAGGCATAGCATTTCAAACTTCCACTTGAATATGGTGGCATGTCTCTACTTGGGTGGACCCACTCCAGTGTCACATATTCCATAATGATGACAATGACAAGATAAAGGCAATTCTCCACACTACTGACCTGTACCAGCATTGGTAGCACATGCCACCTCAGTGTCGTCAAACTCCAGCTGAGGCTCGTAGTCGTGGTAGTCTGACAGTGATGGGTAGGGGTCGTCAACCACCTCCTGACAGTGACACTGGCCCAGAACCTGACCCTGCCAGCCCAGCCATGTCACACATGTGCAGATTCCTGGTGGCATGTACATTAATACAGAAACCATGAAACTTTTGTCACAAAAACACAGCATTCAGTATCATTGCAAACTATGTTGTGATACTCCCATCATTACAAGACTTTATGCCTTAGATGTTAGAACCATTAGCCATTAATGGACTGCCTGTGATTAATGCATATGAAGAACCATATAACAAGACCCCCAGAAATGTTTCAGTCTAACAGCAGCTAACTTTTTTGGCCCTAGCCCCAGAATACATCTGCTAACATGCTGTAACCTTGGGCCTCTGTCCATGATTTTGACATCTCAATGGAAACAATGCTAAATTTAGGCCAATTTCCTTTAAGGGTGCCCACAGCTATTTGCAAAATATACACTAGCTATAACACATACCATAAACTAGCCAAAATCGCTGAATGCTATTGCTGGATCCTCAGACTGTGCCAGACCTAGATCTAGGTACTCAATCAAGTGTTTCTGCAGACAAATTATTTGACAATGCTCTTATTAAGTCCAAATCCCCCCCAGCCTAAAATCCAATGTAACTAAGATGAAAGTATTTAGAAACACTAAAACTGGATGCAACAGTCTTTTTTGGTACAACTTGGTACAACCAGGCATATAAGAAATGTTCAGTGCAAAAATTCATCATAGATAATGATCTGAGCTGAGATAAAAAATCACAAAACACAGCATATAACCAGTGAACTTGACATAAATGACAGAGCTCTCAGGCACAAAGAAAATAAAACCAATATATTGATCTAGTGAAAATAAAGCAGAAAACAATTTTACTATGCCTTTCAATGAAAGTGCCAGATAATATAGTGAGAGAGATATGGAGCATGGACATTTAGGAGTGTGACCAGACAGCACCTACAATAACTCAATTATGTGAAAGTGCCTCCTTTTAAGTTAAGGCTGGGTTCAGGTTGGTCAGATTGGTTGTACATCCCTTACAATGATGAACCAATGAAAACCTGCGGGATTCTTTCAGTCTGTTTATAGGTTGCATGACAGTAGAAATAATATCCTAATGGTTAATGATAAGCCAAGAATGTGATACAAAATGCAAAAAACATGAAGCACTAATTTTGGCTAACACGCTGTCACCAATGTCACAATTCTATCCGTAATGCCACATTATAAAGCTACAACTCCCAACACATTGTGTCCATATCTCTGTCACTCCTTGCATACTGTAGACAAGTAGATTGCCTTACTTCTTTGCTTGCCAACAAAGAAATGTCTCCTATACTGTTGTTGATGCCATGACAATGTCTTAGACCATGACAATATGAGCATTGCAACCGTGACTATGCCAAACCCTTTCAACATCTGGATAGTCATGGGCTCAGATGTCATGTTGCAGACAGATCCAGACACGAAAGTAAACCATTATGAAAGACCTACATATAACGATTCACTTACCAGGTTGTGCCACTTTTGGCTTCGCCTTGGATGTCTTGGCCAGCGATTCCATCTTGAATTTGATTACTGTCAACACAAATACCTACAGCAACAGCCCTTCTCACTGTGATTCAACACCATTCCCTAAGGTGCAAGCATACCTCCTGGCGATTCGAAGCGGAAAAACCCCCTCGAGTGAAGAATCCTTCACACGCCAGCAATTATCTTTGTACCGCGTAGCTGACCAGTGATGCAGCAGACACAAACAACGGTGATTGGGTACGTGACGCATCCATGCGCCATTGTGGACATGGATGAACTCTGGCTCTGGCTGGAACTCTGGTCTGGCTCGAAAACGTGAATCAGCTGATAACACAAATCGACGTCATATTCGCGGAGTTCTTCCAATGATGCGGCGCTTGCTGGATATGGATCACTGACAGTTCCAGAAGAGACGGTTTCGCCGAATCACGAAATATTCTCGAAAGTGGCCATTATGTTTTGAGTCACCAAACCACTCCTTTTTCGTTAAATGTCGCGTATCAAATGTGATATTCGATGACACTCAAAACATCACAATTTCACCGCGTCTTTGGCACAAAATGAACACTCTCAAGCTCCCCTTTTTTCATTCCTGTTGTAGTGGCGGCCTAAGTACTCTGCATGTCCTGTGCCAGCATAATGCCAACTGCCCTCTTAACTACCCCGAGACATCGTGACCAACATTTACTTCTGCATGACACTGACACTATTCGAATCGTCATCGGCGTCAGGGGCACGGTTTTTGGAAAAATCCGGGGTGGGCAAGCTGACTGCTGTGAAAAGGTCGGAAACCATGTTAGTTTTCAGGCAGTCCAATTTCTCCACGCATTTAGGCCACTTTCCATGTGCAGTTAGGTAGGGGAGGGGGGGGAGGGCTGACGACAAACTTAGGGGAGGTCTGTAGTCCACCTGCGAGCTGATTGCGAAGCGACAACGCTGCGTGGCGCAGTACATTCGCCGAGCCTATAAAATTACTCGTGTTCAAACCATCCACAATGGGGGCTGCCGCATATGCCGGGTGCGATTCACCGCTGCAGCTCCAGTGCGTGAGTCAGTGCGCGCGCTACCAGACACGACAAGGCCTCACAATTCTGTGCCCTCCGACGGCATACCGATAGGACTAGCACGTGTTGGTGGTACCAGCACTCACGAGTGATGCGGCCTTAACATCCGGCGAAGGCGGAACAATGGTGGTGGCAGGGGAAGAGGAGGGGGGGGGGGGCGTCAGGCCCGACCTCTCATGGACCCCAGCGACCGCGGAACGCCACGACCACGGCGACCGCCACCGCCCCCACCGGTGCTGCAGCTCGGCGCTCCCTCCGCCCCACCACCCCAGCCGCGGAGGCTGGGTCGCCCATGGCCGCGGGGACCGCCAACGCCGCCGCCGGTGCTGTAGCTCGGCACTCCCTCCGCCCCGTCGCCTCAGCCTCGAAGGCTGGGTCGCCCATAGCCACGGGAACCACCACTACCGCCACCGGTGCTGTGGCTCTCCGCCCCGCCGCTCCAGCCTCGGAGGCTGGGTCGCTGACGTGTCGAATGACTCCGGGTCAGGCACCGCGCCCCGTGACCCCAGTGATCCAGACGGACTGCGCCCCACACTAACCAGCCGCAGTAGCAGACACATTAAAGGTTGGGACATATGAAATGCAGTACTGGCAAAGCCAACAAATGACACATGACAGCAGTGCATCAAAATGAAAATGAGAGCCACAAGCGGAAGAACGGTGTAACACTGCGTCACACGTGTTACTTGCATTGCGCAATGTTCACCGCTGACTTACTTCATGTTCCAGCACTATTGCGCCACGTATAAGTCATTGGGACAACCCGTTCGTAATAAACTTGCTGAAATAAGGGGAAGAAATGCCCCGCCCCACCCCACTACACAAGCGCACAGCTGGCAGGCGGATCCTGTTGACACGCGGCTCAACCGCACACAGCCGCCACGTGGTCGGCCTCGAAAATCACACGCACCATGCGAATCCTTTATGCTGACCTCACCTCCATCCGGATTGGAAAAAACAACCGAGATTTTCTATAACGTTTATATAGTTCGTACAAAACACGAAGGAAGAGCCACTGGACACATTTGACTGGGCGCAAGAATAAACACAAGTGCTGCCTCGAACGCAGGTAAGCTGTGCAGTTAGAGCAGCAAACGCCATTAACTAATAACACATCACCGACAACAAATACGACGCCGGCGTATGACTCCAACTCCTGCGTTTGGCCCGTTCGTTGCTCTGCTAATCAACATGACTTACAGTAAGAATTGCGCACAATTGCCGAGGTCAAATGTCAATAATCCAGTCACCTAAGTCGCAAAAATCCCAAACGCAACCAGACGGGTCAAAGCTGATTTGAACATACTACCCCAAACACCTCTGGTTACGCTGTCACCAGATGCTGATCTTAAGTCGCTCGCCAAACAGGACAACCAATTGCATACTTGCATGAGAGAGCATCTCTGGCTGCATGAAAATTTGTGTGTGCCTTGTTTTGGCAAAAATGCTAAGGCATACTGTAAAAACACATCACTTTACGAAAAAGACGGGGCACTGCAGTTACAAGTCCAGGGGTTGGGCGACGATGATGACGATGAACTGGGAATACCCCATTCTGATTCCGTTTGGAGACCTTACAGATGTTTTCTTTCTCCCGTGTGTTACGACGCACACAGCGTTTGCATGTCTGAGTGTTACTGGTCTCACTTTTTTAATTTTGTTTGGCTTCTAGTCATAGCATATCGTGCGTAACGACATGACAAAAGGCAAATAACGAAACGTTGGCACTAAAAGAAAAAAGGCAAGTCGGGAAAGTGGCAAGCTCTGGAGGATCAACGGCTTCTGTATGCATGGGTACCTGCACTAAAGGATTGAATTACACCAAAAACTAACTGCGTCGTTTTCGCCTCGCAGTGCTCTTTACTACTACAAGTGGCCGTGCTTTGGGAGGGTTGTTATGCACTCGATTATACATGGTGGCCCACTAGGCAACTTAAAACATGCATGCGATAAAAGCAAAGTATGATATACCAATAGCATTATGGTCTGGGGCGTTCGGACGGCAAGCCCCCGGCACGTTTGGCAGAGCCCCTCTCTCCTGACGTCACAGGCCAGGCCTGAAGCTGCCACCGCCTGAGCCCAGGTCCGCCAGAGCCACGCAGGGACGGCGCGATGGCTGGCGCGCCAGCTCGCCGTCCGGCCCGCTGGTCCCGGTCGCGCTCGCGGCCGTGCCGTGCCGCACCGCCGGCTCACTTCTTCTTCTTGCCGAGCGTGAGCGTGCCGCCGTGGGAGGCGGTCAGGTGGGCGGCCTTGCGCCGGTGGAACTCGGCCACCTCCTCCTCCAGCTGGCGGCGCTCGTCGTCCACGCGGCGCTTCTCGTCGCCGTGCTCGCGCTTCATCTTGTCGAAGCGCTGCTGCAGCTGCGCGGCCGGGCACGGGGCGCGTCAGATCACGGCGGAACAAACCGCCGCCAGTGACGTCCTCATGTTGCCATGCGCTTTACGACATTAGGTGGGGCGGGCCATTGCCCGAGAGGGACGAGACACTTCGGCGCGGTGTACTTAAACTGACCACATGTCTGATATCCTGGACCTATGATCCAACGTGTTCGTGCGCACCGTCTCCGTAAGCGCCAAGCTTTTCAAAACACAGAAAAGATACTGCGCCGGCCGGTAAATCACTTCGCATTGCTCCAATCAGCGTTAAGCCTGTCGAAAGGCCTTTTGAAAAAAGTTTACGTTCCGTGCAAGTTCTCATATCGCAGCGCGGTACACATGACTGACCTGCTTTTCAGCCTCCTTCAACTCCGTCTCCTTCTCCTTGACCCGCTGGACGAACATTTGCCGCATTTGGTCCTCCTTCTGCTGCATCTCGTCCAGGTGCTCCGAGCGCTTCGTCTCGTAGGTCTCCTGGAAGTTGACCGGCTTGTTGTCCGGCCCCACGTCGCTGAAGCCCATCTGTCGGAGCGCAGAAAGGCGGTCACTGACACATCACTCACACAACGGCTTGTTGACAGGACTGAAGGCCGCCGGCCCAGATCACGGAGTCGTTCGGAAACAAGGCACCTGACAGTCACGGCCCGACGGACGTCACAGTGTGACGGCTCTGACACGGAGCGGCAGCCTTGGCCGATGCTGGAACGGCTGCTAGCTAGGTGGCCTAGTGATCAGAGCACCAGCCCCGGCGGTCCAGCAGTCTGAGCAGACGCGGGGCGGCTGCCTTGGCCGATGCGGGGACCGGCTGTTAGCTGGGTAGTCTAGTGATCAGAGCCCCGGCCTCGGCCGTCCAGCGGTCTGAGCAGACACAGCTGGTTCGAGCCCCCAGCACCGGCCGAAGCAGCCCGCCGGGACGGTGTTGCCCAGCACTGACCTTCTCCAGCCGGGCTTGGCGGTACAGCTCGTAGTGCTTGGTGTGCGTGGTGTCGCGGAGATCCTCCATGTTGGTGCGGATCAGCATCTCGCGAAGCTTCACAAAGTCGCAGTGGTTCTCGTTCTCAACTGGAAAACGGAGACAACGGCAATGAAACCGCCACCTGATGGCGGCGCCGCGGCTTTGGGGCTTGTTCCTGACTGTGTTCCGGTCTCCCACGGTACAGACGTCGTGAGACATTTCTGTGCCTATTGCCACGAAGCTTCACGCGTCGTTAACTGTAACCTGAAAATGCATGGAAACCGCCGCCATCACCGTGCAAACAGCTAGCAAATGTAGCTAGCGGTAAATATATGCAGCCAACGCAAACGCCTCGCAACACTGGCACCTGTCACATGCCAAGACAGTTCCTTCCCTCCCCCCCCCCCCCCCCCCCCCCCCCACAAGGTACTCCAAGTGTACCCCACACTCACCCTGCACGGTACCCCCAGGGGTACTCGCGGGCGCGCACCATCTTGTTGCCGACCTTGACGAAGTCGGTGCTGCCGACGACGGCGAACGGGATGTGCGCGTTCATCGAGCGGTTGGTGTCAGCCACGGTCGAGTCGTCCATCGGGAAATGGTAGATCTGCACGCCGTTGCCGTTCAGTTCCGTCAGGATGCGTTGCTGTGGACACGGCAGCGCCAACGGCGTGAAGCAGAGAACGTGGCGACACAGCCTCGTTCAATTGCGGCAGGTTCGCCGCGGTGCTGGCCGTGCAAAGCAAAGCACGCGAACTGACGCAAGCCACCTCCTCGTCCACTGGAAGCGAGGCATCAATTCTGCATCTGCACACTCCGTGGATCAAAGTTGGCACAGATCCCTATTCCGTTGTTTACCATCGATAGACGTTTTCTTCTCATCATAATTCACAACATGTATTTCATTCCAGATGGTTGCATTGCCAGGAAAGTGTAAAACAAGTGATGACTGGAGCATTCGCGAGCGTCGACTGCTGGAAAACTCCGATAAAGTGGACATGTGTAAGAAAAAGCCCGCGATGGAAAACACGGATTCAGGTCTGATCTGATCTGTTCCGACTGATCTGGCCTGGTATGGTTTACTCGGGGCTGGTTCGATCTAAACTGGTCTGGTCCGGTCTGGTCTAGTTCGGTCTGATCCCGCCTAATCAGACCTGATTTAGTCTGATCCAGCCAAGTCATGTCTGATTTACCCCCGGTGACCGTGCTCACAGGACGTCTGGTCTGGCCGTGTAGCCGGTCAGAACCGACCACAGCACCCGGTCAAAACCACCAGAACAGCCGGTTAGAACCAACCCCTGCGGCCGGTCAGGACCGACCATTGCGGCCGATCAGGACCGACCACAGCAGCCGGTTAGGACCGACCACCACAGATGGTCAGGACAGGCCACAACAGCCGGTCAGGGCCGACCACAGCAGGCCGACATGTGACCCGCACTGTAGTCTGCGCTCCGTTGACCGCACGGTTCGACCTCCAATGTCTGCACAGGTTTCATATGCTTTGAGGTAAAAATAAGCACAGACTGTCAAGCCATGCCACTGATTACTCCTCAATGTATCTCCCGGAAAATTTGGTACACATGACAAATTTCTTGGCCTGGCAAACCTACATACACAGGCAGCACATCTTTATGACAGGTTCATTAGCACATGGTAGAACCTACCTTGAACTTGACTAGTTCGGTTTTGGAGATTGTGTCCGCCTTGGCGATGACGGGGATGATGTTGACCTTGCTTTGCAGTTTCTTCATACACACGAGATCTAGCGATTTCAGTCTGCGAAGGGACGAAGCCAGTATCAACTAGGATGCACTCATAGGTGTGATCTTCCGCGTCAGTACTCAAACGTTCTTCGTCACTAACCAAACCTTTCTACGTGCTTCACGACTGTTCATAAGACATTTTTCGCTCCCAGTAATCGTTCCGACAGCCAGCAACGGCAGACGCAGACGTCAGCCACCCCGATCCTGGCTCACCCGTGTCCCGTCGGGCAGATGAAGTAGACGCATGCGTGGATCCTGGTGTCGTGGTACGCCGACAGCGAGCGCTTGATCTTCAACTCCTCCTGCAGGTAGTTCTCGAACTGCGTGTCAATGTAATCGACGATCGCTTTGAAGCTGTCCTCCTTGTTGATCTGGTCGCCGTAGCCGACCGTGTCCACACAGCGTCAGCTGCCGGGGCGCACAGGGCGTCAGCTGCCGGGTCACACAGCGTCAGCTGCCGGGTCACACAGGGGCGTCAGCTGCCGTGTCACACAGCGTCAGCTGCCGTGTCACACAGCGTCAGCTGCCGGATCACACAGCGTCAGCTGCCGTGTCACACAGCGTCAGCTGCCGTGTCACACAGGGCGTCAGCTGCCGTGTCACAGGGCGTCAGCTGCCGGGTCACACAGCGTCAGCTGCCGTGTCACACAGGGCGTCAGCTGCCGTGTCACAGGGCGTCAGCTGCCGGGTCACAGCGTCAGCTGCCGTGTCACACGGGGCGTCAGCTGCCGTGTCACACAGGGCGTCAGCTGCCGTGTCACAGGGGGTCAGCTGCCAGGTCACACAGCGCCAGCTGCCGGGTCACACATGGTGTCAGGTACTCCCTGTCCGGGTGCTGGCGATCGGGGCTCGCCAAGCCAGCTGCAGCAGCCGGCCAGTGGCCGTCAGGCAAGCGTGAATCGGCGCAAGGCTCGCAAGCCGTGCAGTCTCGCAGCACGCGACAGTCGCCTGCCCGCAGTCTGCGGCGGCGCCCACTCCGGCCTGGCGCCGACTGCTCCGCCCGCGCCGTCCGACCCGACACCCCCCGGAACGGAGGGCGATCTGAGCTGGCCCGAGGCCCGGGCCGTCAGGGCCAGTCGAGGGGCCGCGTTGCCGTGGAGTCTGCCGCAGCGACGCGTCACACGGACGACGCGCGCGTGCATTCTGACGATTCCGCTCGGCTAAAAGGCGAGCCAACTGGCCTGGTCGCAGGCCGCAGGTCTCGCGGGAAAGCGCACAGCACAGTCAATGGAGCCACGTAGCATGGGTGATGAGGCCACCCGAGGTCCGTTTCAGTACTGAGGACGGCCAGGCAGGAGCATGGGAGCCGAAGCCCACTAGTGCATGTTTTGTACTTAAGCTTGTTCCCTTTGGACAATTCACCCCATACTGTAAATGTTCATCTGTTTCCCATGTGGAACATTGTATGAGCATAATGAACTCTTAAAAGGGTATGCTCACAACATGGGTATGCGAAAATTGCCAGGTTGTCAAAGCAAAATCATCTTAATGTCTCTAGCATTTGTCTCCTTTCAGTACACCCACACTTAAGTTTAAAGTTAAAAATCTAGGTAAAAAATGCCTAGTGATGGCACATCGCTAAATGCAGAGAAATGCCTTACCTTTCTTAAACTATGCAAAACTTACCACTAACTTCACTTTTTGTGGCTTCTAGAAGCATGAAACAGAAAGCATCCATAGCAATGCTGTTCATAGGTAAAAGCATAGCATAAAAGCACGGCCATAGCAAGACACACCACAATTTATCAAACAGATTACAAAATACTAGTAAGCAAGCATTTAGCACACAGTGGTTCACTGTATTATCAACATTCTTTATGATAACATCATAGAAAAAATGTGGCAGCATGAAAAACTTCTCTTTATTACAGGCATATAACATTTAATTCATGAAACTAAAAATGAATAAGAAATATAGCTTACTGGCAAGCTATGCCATGAGTGCCCATTTGAAAATAGTTTCTCCATTAAGTTCACAGCTTTTAATTGTTAAACAACATTTAACCCATTTAGGACTCACCTTCAACTTGACATTGCTCTCCTGCAGCTCATATGTGTGCGCCTTCAGTTTCACAACAGTCAGGTTGTGTGGACTCTGAGATGACTCGAAGTTGGTGTTGAACAATGAGTCCATAAGGGTGGACTTACCCAATCCTGTCTCGCCTGTCGACAGAGCATGGAATCAACACAAAACCGGAGCACATCTCAACATCTCACCAGGCACGTCAGCATACTACAAACATAGGACCAGCAGTATCTAAAACATAACAGGACCAATTGACATTGCTAGGAGTTCTTATACATCATTTACTAGAGGTTCACTGTTAAAAATACAAGCTCTTCTTTAGTCACATGAAGCTCTGAAGACTGGATGCCAGATGGCAAGCAAAGATTAAATGGCCTCATAAACTTCACAAATCTGTGCCTAGTATAAGGGACTGATGCATGAGAAGAAGAAACTATGTATAAAAAACAACATTCGCTCTGAAAAACTTTTTACATGAGAGAAGCACAAGGTGTACTGGGGCAAGGGGAGGGAGGGGGATCCCACACAGCATTCTAGTCCTGTGACCCATGAGCACATGTGTTACACAGCAAACACCTAGCTGAGCTAAGTGAACACTGAAAATGTTACAATGCATTGCAAGCAAAAAGAATGAAACACTAAGTGAAGCATGGTCCAGGCCTTGGAAGCCCCCTTTCACCAAGGTCAAATCAGCACAAAAATGGTACCACCAGTTACAAAACTGAAAAGGTATATGTTCATGACAAAGATGGGCATTACATCTCCATGTCTTTCAGCAGTGCAAAGTGTGGAAAGCCAATCACCATAAACCCTTCACACACAGCTTAACCTTGCAGGAGCAAGCAAGTCAAGACAGAAAGTAAACACAACAAGAAATAATATTTAACCAACATTCATGTTGGTTGTCAACAGTGGCCCTATCAAGGCTGAGATTCTATCCAGCCAGACTGTATTCATAACAAGGAGAGCATATTTAACCTGAACACATACTCTAACATTGCTTGACATGCTACCATTGCCTGGTGCAAGTAGGCTAGCAGTCAGAGATAACCTTTTTTTGGCAAAGGTTTGGGAACTTGAGGCTGGCTGGTATCTGTACAAAAAATTATGCCTGGCAAGGAACCTGTCCAACTTGGCTTCAGCACAATAATGTTGTTTTTCTGAAGGGTGCATCTGATCTATTAGCTAGTAAGGTCAGCATATTTTGCAATACTCAAATTCTGGTTAAAATGCCATATCCACAGATGCATTATCACATATTTTGAGATAGGGGCAGAACTTTCATAGGACACATTTACAGAGGGGCCTCCTGGGCAAGATGTTCCTGTTTCCGAAGGTCATACTTACCTTATCTTTGTAGCTTGAAGAAATCAAGCTCATGCCGCTCAGTGTTTTTGCAGTCTAAGGAGGCAAACAATTTGTTTTAAGATGCCTATTTGTCAATATTTTGCCCATAATACCCTAGCAATACCTTGTCAGACCCTGCCACATTTGCAGATGAACAGCTGCCAGCATACATGAGCATGACCATACCTGGTTCCTTCATACACTATCAATTCACACTCAAAAAAAAATTTGCTTACCAATGCACATGATGTTGAAAGTGAAGCCATTCTGAACAGACTTTGCCACCAGCTGGTCTGGCAGAGAGTCAAACCCCACATGTCCTGACAGCTCCAGTGGCCTTGGCTGGTTTCCTCCAACTGCCTGCAACCACAAAATATTTCTCTTTACATCAACAGCAGATCACATCACGCTTCATCGAAACTGACAGAACGCCTTTATTGCGCAAACATGTAACCTGCTTGGCTGCCAACACCGTAGCCACTGCATTTAAGAAATGGAAAGCATTCAAATATTCTGCAGGCTTACCCCGAAGCACAAAATACAACTCAAACGGCAAAATAGGCAACCGGCTCTCCACATTTTCCATCCTGTAAGTGTAATAAACACTTCACCGTTACAGACTTTCAAGCGGGGCGTTGCCCGTTGACCATTCGACATACACCAACCTTAGGCTTATCCAATTCGACAGGTGGCATGGTGGATGACAAAAACGTGCCCGCTGGTAGTTGCAGCGATTACTTTTCACACCTTCACACCGACGAATTACTTTCAATAAAGCTCCTACTACAGAGACGGACAACACCAGTCACCAATTTCAACGGAGCCAAAGTTAGTCAAGGTTTCTCGAAAACGAATCCGTTGAGGTCGGGGTTTTGTCCCCATTGTTCTTTCCATTCGGATCCAAATGAATTTCAATGTTTTTGCTTGCATAGGACTATGAAGCTTGCATGTAATGCTAGTTTATACAAAATATGATTTCCTTGTGTCCTGATAGTTAAAAAACACTGCATACTCAAGTGTCTTTGTTGGCCTTGATTTATCCAACGGCCCAGCAGCTCTCACGGATTGCACTAGCCAGCTGATTTGTGTTACTTCAGCTGAAGCTGCGCCAGGAAAGTCTATGGTCAACTAATGTTTTGCCGTCCTGTTTTGTTTTGTGGAGAGTGGGTGGCGAGTGGTGGGAGTTATGCACCGCTCCGTTGCAAAAGCACGCGAGGACAATGCTTGAAAGCTGCTTGCTACGCATGCGTTGAACATCTGATTGCCGAATTTATCGCGATGAGTTTGGCGGGCTGCGTGGTGATCTCCGAAGCTCTGTCCGGTGTCACTTTTGGTGGCAGTGCGTGGTCGTGCCCAGAGGATTGATATTTTTCAAAGGTAAGCACGGCTAGGGCTATATGGAAGAGTCGTCAATGACACAGCCTGAAAATTCATGCTTTTTTACAGACAGAGGGCATGCCAGGACCATGCCTGAAACAACTATTACACTCATTTTGGCACGATTATGATGGGTAGGTAGTGGGCATGGGTCACATACTTGGTACAGTTGAGGAGGAAGCCTGCATTGTTTTGCCATCTGATATGCAGGTTCCAGGTATGCCAGCTGTTTAGATGGGAGAAAGAGTGGTAATTTAGCATATAGTTGCTGAATATCATTGCTGTTATTGTGGCATTTGGAGCTTTTAAGAAGCTATTTAAAGTCAATAAGTGATTGTTTTTTATTGCAGAACATTCACTGAAATACCTGCAATGCCTACTGGAGATATCCCTCAGATCATGGTCTTCAGGCCATCATATGAAGAATTCAAGGATTTCTCAAAGTACATTGAGTACATTGAGTCTCAAGGTGCCCACAGGGCAGGCCTAGCAAAGGTAAGCCCACACCATTAAGCAAACCTTTGCATCTGCTGCATATTTCATGGGTGTCTGCATATAAATTCATAACTTGTGTTTGAACAAGCTGGTCGTGTATGCCAGGTGACATCACATCTAGCCCTTAATCCTGTATTCTCACAATACCTTAATGTCACTGTTCCTGGTATGCCAAGTATGCCAGCCTGGACCTGGCATAGCATCATCATAGGTTAACAGGCTCAACCCAACTACATGCAGACTCCAATGTTGTGCTGAATATGTATGTCAAATCCACATGGCAGAGAACCCATACTGTTCATACTTACACATAACTACATTCATACTGTACTAGTATGCAGTATTCAAACATTTTTGTAGAGGCATCTGTGTATCTGTATCAGTTTTTCAGCATTGCGTTCTGATATTCCAGTTTGTTATGATCTTAACAATGATCAATCTGGGCTGCAAGTTTCAATTTCCTGGCTGATAAGTCCACAGGGCCATGTGCTGTTGTAAGAAGAATGTGGAAGTGCCCACAATACATTTGGGCATGTTAACCATTTCTTTCAAAATTGTTTTGAATATGTGAAGTAGTAGTACTGGATATGTCAATACATCTGAAGAAGTGCAATTTTTGCTATTCGTGCTTGATTTTGGTGCAATCAGCAGTGTTCAGCACCAAATCTTAAGCTCCTGCTCATAGAGGTTGTTTCCTGCAAACACTCAAACTGGACCCACACATGTCTATTAGATGCCAAGTGACCTATGCATTCAGCTGTTTTTAAACAGTTTTTTTTCCAACTTGGTTTGGTAGCTTGATCACCCCAAAGGACATCATGTTTGAGGTTCTGGTTATCTGTTATGGCACTAATGATGCAAGGTGTCATGTTCTTTCACCTGGTGTGGGACATTAAGATACCTGATTTACTTTGCTCAACATTGTTGTTTGTTTTCATCATTATTGCCCAGATGTAAGATCATAATATTTCATTGGTGTAAGAAGCATTATATAAAATGCCAGATCAGAGAGTGAAAGGTCAAAAAGTGGTCAGTTCAGATGTGATCAATCAAAGTGTCATTTATTCAGATCAAGTCAGTGTTTAATCAGGTCAGTATTTTATCAATTGAAATGGGTCTCCCCTCATCATGTTACCATCTTTGTGCATAAGGCTGTTTTGTCTGATTCCACCCAACCCAGCAAAAGAGCCAAGAAACTTCAACTTGGGTCAAGGCCTGCTGTTTGAATATCATTTCTTTAGTACACCATATGTGGAATCGGCTGCGCTTCGTACCGACACCGAACTGAAGTCCAAAGACTTCACGGAATGCACCATTTGCGGCCGTGGGGCCCGGAGCGTGACGTGCAGGACTGCGCTGGCAACGCAGTGGCGAGATGCGAGGTGCACAGGCGGGGAAATCCCGCCGCGGCAACATGCTGAACTGCCAAACGCCTGGCCCACATTCAAGAGGCCTCCCAGCAAGTGTTTGCCATTGTGTTATTCGCGAGGGTGAGGAAAAACTAAGCGTCAGGTGTACGAACAGTTGCAGTTAATATCGCTGGCTGAGCGAGGCTTGGGAGTACTCGCCTACATGGTGTCCCACACAGAGAGCACAGAAGGATAAATGGCATGCGTCGTCCAACTGTTTTTCCCTGTCGGAATTCACGGACCTCTAGTAATATTGTGGCTACACTTTTTTACTTCATGCTGTCGTGTTCCAGATTATTCCACCGAAGGAGTGGATACCACGGAAGGGCGGCTTCGACATGAATGACATTGGCGACATGGTCATAAACGATCCAATATGCCAGGTGAGCTCCCAGGGACGTCAGGACATCATTACCCACGTCGTGCCCATGACGACTGATCCCGCTAAGCGTGTTAGTTGCCATTTTCCCGTCAGCGCCAGCAGAGTTTGGTTGGCGGTGCACGCCGTGCGTCCCGGGCGCGGCCGGGCGGCGGCCGACCCTGGCCCCGCGCCCGTGATGTCCCTCGCCCCCACCCCACGACTGACCGGCGTCCGTGATGCGGCCAGGTGGTGACTGGCCGGCTCGGCGCCTACACCCAGGTCAACGTGCTGAAGAATCGGCTGACGGTGCGCGAGTACCGCGAGCTGGCCGACAGCCGCGGCTACCGGCCGCCGCCGCACGCCGACTTTGACGACCTGGAGCGACGCTACTGGAAGAACGTCACCTACGTGTCGCCCATCTACGGCGCCGACGTGTCCGGCTCGCTCACCGACGCCGACTGCGACGTGCGTGGTCCCGGCCCCCTGCCCGCAGTGGTAGGGCTGTGACGTCACCATGTACAGTCCCTGATGCTGTGGCGCAGCTGCCAGTCTGTGGCCTCACTGGTATCTGAGAGTCTTCCAGTGGGTTGGTGAAGGAGCCTGCCTGGGTCTGGGAAATACATGAAAACGATTTTTCCGTCGGTATTATGAGGTTTTATTCTCAGCGAAAGAACGGATATTACCGGAAACCAAGAGCCTTAGGTTTTTCTTGCCTTTATACAAATTTCGTAGTGCGTTCCGCTCGCACGCTTTTTGCCGAGCGCATCCCAATACTGACTAAAATGGCCGGGTAAATGCGGTAGATTTTTCCGGTTGCCGCCCTGCCGTGCCAGGGTTGGAGTGTCATGATGACGTCACAAACCGTGGTGCGTCGTAGTTATCGTCTGGAAGTACCACGCGTGTGCCCGCGTGTTGTCTTCGGAAATCCCGCGGGCTCACTTGCAGGGGAGATGTGCGAGTTCGTGTGTTGGTCTGAAAGATGTGCCCCGCACTGGCTGGAGTGGGTGGGGTGCGTTTTCTAGTGAAGTTTTTGAGAATGTTTGATGTGGTTTGGGCGTCAGTGGTCTTGCGACACACACTTAATGCTCCCTGTAAACTTTTCTGGGGTGTGTTTTGACGCAATTTTAGAGCAGGCCAATCGTCGACTTGCATTTTCTGTGCGAAGTGAAGTTGCTTGTGGTTTGCATCTTGGATGGGCAATTTTTTGTTTTTGTTTTTGTTGGGCAGTTACAGATTAATTTGACTAGGACAAGGCTTTTGGTCCTGGCTGTTTTGGTTCTATTTTCGAAGTCGTCTAATACTTTTCTGAAGTATAGCATCCGTTGAATTACAATTTGCTTATAGTCATGGTTATACAGTGGTAGCTCTATGGAACATATTTTTGATTGGGTAGGCTGTTGCCTATAAGTAGAACATGTTTGAAACTATGTTTTGTGTACTGCAGTAAACTGACCTATTTATGTTACCACAGGTTTGGAACATCAACCGTCTGGGAACGATTTTGGACTTCGTCAACAAGGACTACGGCCGCAGCATTGCGGGCGTGAACACCGCTTACCTGTACTTCGGCATGTGGAAGACGACCTTTCCCTGGCACACAGAGGACATGGACCTGTACAGCATCAACTATTTGCACTACGGAGCGCCGAAGTCTTGGTGGGATATTGGGCGTTGCAGTGGGCTCTTTTTCAGATGGTGCGAGTCATTGCCGTTGATAGCGGGCTTGCAGTCTGGCCGTGCATGTTGCGTAGACAGACCTCATGGCCGTGACCCTGTTGTGTCCCAATGCCTGACTGTGACCTTGTCCACACACGCTCTGAGCCTGTATCGCGCGACGTCTCGTGGCCATCACCGGTGTGTGCGCACACCGACTGAGTATGGCCTTTCCCCGGGAATGTCACCTTACCCCAGCCGTGGCTTACCCTTCTGACGCCGCCCTCTCCCGGATCAGGACTCCGGCGTCCCTTGCCCTGACCATGGCCTGTCCCACTGGCTGTGGCCTTTCCTGGGGCACGATCTCTGTCTCCACACCTTACATCATAATCCCATCATGGCAGCGACTTGTCCCCGGCCGCGACGTTTCTTCCTGGTGGTGGACTTTCCGTGACCGTGGTCCCCCTGCCCCCGACCCTCTCCCTGACTGTGGCATTTCCTTGATGCAGATATCTGTGTCTCCACACCCCCTTGTCATAACCCCTCCCTGGCCATAACTTCCTCCAGACTGTGACCTTCATATGACGTAACCACGACCTGCATCCCCACATTCCCTGATGGGTTTTTGTCTGACCACGACCCTTGTATGATCCCCCTGACCGTGACTCCGGCGACCACATTTCCTTTCCCGTGGTCTCTGCATGACCTCTCCTCCAATATGAGCTGTATGTGACCTTGCCCCAGCCATGACCTCTAACCTGACCTGTAACCATAACCTTACCACGACCTGTGCACGAGCTCTCCTGTGACCATGACCTGATTGCCCTACATTCTCTGGTCTGACTTCTCCCTTAGTGTGACCTGTATGACCCCTGACCATGACCTCTCATTGCCCTGACAGTGACCTCTATGACGTCAGGTACGCGGTGCCGCCGGCGCACGGTCACCAGCTGGAGCACGTGGCCGCCTCACAGTTTCCTTCCGGTCGAGGCCGGTCGGTGCAACGCCTTCCTCCTACACAAGTCGTTCCTGCTCAGCCCACAGGTGCTCAAACGCCATGGGGTGCCAGTCAACAAGGTGAGGCCCGTGACCGACGCCCAATCCCATACTGGTGTGAAAGGCTCCCTGTGTGTGACCACGGGCCAGGTCCTGTCGTTTAAGTGGCACAGAAGCTGAGGACTTGCGATGGCTGTGTGGTCGGCGCTGACCAGTGACCAGTGCCGCCGCTCACACGTGGTGCCGGCGCCCTGACCGGTGGACTGCCCCCGCTCACACGTGATGCCGGCGCCCTGACCGGTGGACTGCCTCCACTCACACGTCATGCCGGCGCTCAGACCGGTGGACTGCCACCGCTCACTCGTGGTGCCGGCGCTCTGACCGGTGGGCTGCCCCCGCTCACACGTGATGCCGGTGCTCCGACAGATCACGCAGGAGCAGGGCGACATCATGATCACCTTTCCATACGGCTATCACTCGGGCTACAACCACGGCTTCAACTGCGCCGAGTCGACCAACTTTGCCTCCCCCCGCTGGATTGAGTATGGCAAACGCGCCACACTCTGCTGCTGCGGGTGAGTCGGTGCATAGTGATGGGGCGGAATGGATAGCCATCAAATGCGATCCGGATGGTACGGGAGCCAGGTGGCGCTCTCGTCGATTTGTTCGGTGGAAGTGCTGGCTGTCCATGCTGCCATTCGACCTGCCTTTCCAGAGTATTCTGCGGACCCAGACTGCTCTGGAACGAAACAACTGTATGATGCCACATGGACGCATTCATGTTGGATATCTGGATTTTAGTGTGTCGCGTTTTTCGTTTTGCTTTCACCAGCACCACAGCGAGGCACCCAACCATATTTCATGTAGCATAAGATGGTTCTATTCTGCTGTGCGAAACTCTAGATACAGCTGCGATCGATAATGCAACTGTGCAGTCGAACTGCCTGTCCAGCAGTAACAGCGGTCCGTGGGCGAGCGACAGGATACCCTCAAAACCATTCCCGTTACTGTGTGAACGGCAGTGACTGACATGCCCAGCCTTGTGGGAATCCCACAGCGAGACACGGCCTGGCCCGAGGCCGGGACCCGCCAGAAGGCGGCGGCGCGCGCCTGACCCGTGCTCCTGACCTTGACACGGTCCGCCGCAGGGAGGACACGGTGCACATCAACATGGACACGTTCGTGCGTCGGCTGCAGGCCGGAGAAAGTAGTGAGCTGTGGCAGGCGGGCGCCGACCTTGCACCTCACCGGAGCGACCCGGCTCGCCGGTTGGCCGCCAACCCGCCCCGACCTCGATCAGCTGCTGCTCTACCAGCACGCGGAGGCCCGCGCACCGCCGCCGCCGTCGGCGGACGGGTGGCGGGCGCGCTGTTTTGGGGAAACGGTGTGACCTTCGATGCTCTGTTGAACGTAGGTTGGGTTTGAACGTCCACTGTATGAGTGCCGGAAAAATGCTTCAAGATAAGGGCCCAACGTCGTTATTATATGTGATATCGGTGATATCTTGACCTGGCGTATTTTCACCGGCCATGGACATAAAGTGGGCGGCGCTTGGCAGTCGGTGGTCCGGCCGGCGCGCTGGCCAGTCATTTGCCGGTCAGTGTGCGGCTTGGAGGCGCCGCCGTGCGGTGTGACTGACACGGTGACCGGTTGGCAGAGCTGAGGAGGAGGCGGAGGCGCCGCTCGAGCCGTCGGCCGGCCTCCACAAACGGCACCCGATCCACGAGCGGCAGGGCGAGGCCAGCGGCGACGAGTCCGGCCCCAGCTGCTCGCCGCCGCCCGGAGACCTGGCCGACGGCCAGCCAGACTTCGAGCAGATCGTGGCGCTGCGTGAGCTCTACTCCAAGGCCGGCGAGACGGGTGAGCCCGGCGGGCGGGCGCTGCAGGACGTGCACTGGGCCTTTCGGTTCCGCGTCTTCGGTGCTGAAGAATAGGCGCTGACGTTTGGTCCCTGCGTGATCAGCATAGGTCTGAATTGGGAAATACTCCGTTTTGGGTAGTGCTCGGTGTGTAGTAGTTTGGTGGACCTGGCGGAGAGTTCGAAACGTATGCGTCCGAGATAAGATTATACGTTTCCGGCTTGAGCTGCAAAGAGTTTTTTCATTTTTTTTTCTTGAAAGGCCCACTTATCATTTGAAATGACCGCTTTTCACTGGTATATTCCATAGCGCTCTTTTCTTACCACGATCATTTCTTCATTTTTTCATTTCCATCGCTTTTTATCAATTTTAAGTTTTTTTTTGCCACCTGCTGCCAAATCGTTTGCGCACGAGACTTTGTCACGTAAGTATTTTTGCCATAAGTTACATGACAGTTCGTAATACCTGGCTTTGATAAGGATATACACTGTTCAAAACATTTCAATGCAGTGAATCGTGGCGGGAGTTAGACTTGGTCCATGATAATAACTAGCCCTGTGCGCCATCAGCAGCTGTAGGGCCACGCCGC